TATATTTTCACCAACAGCTAGTAATGCCTGGAAGCAAAAAGGTGCATAAAAGCCCTGCACAGAGAGTTTGAATCCTCCAGAGGGAATACACAGAATGCAAAGAATGAATTGAGGCTGGGACCGCACTGTTCTCTCGCGGTTTCTGTACACTGGCAGTGGGTTGTGTTTCTCCCTGCAGCCTGCCAGTGGCATGGGCTTAGCACAGCACAGGCAGCAGCTGGTTTCTCAACCCATACTGTGGCTCACAGCATTTGGCCTGGTGAAAAGGAAACCATCTGAAGCTGAGGACCTGATGCAGTGTACCTTGTAGTTAATGGGTATCTTTATTGACCTCAGAGGGAGCTGGATTTGATCCTGTGCCGCCTCAAATGTTTTGGTGTTGGATATGGCTCCAAGCAGACTATTTTCATGTCTCATTTCTGGTCTTTTTTCCCTTTTCCTTCTGAAATGTGCTTACTTTAGAGAGGCGTAAACTCAAGCCAACTCTCTGTGTCAGTGTAGCTGTGCACTTTTATCCTTGCACGGTGTCTGTCCTCTTGTTTCCTCAGCCCTTCTACAGTCTGCAGTATCAGTTTGCAAGATTTTGGCATTGATTTCTCTCCTTGAGCCATTCTGCTGCTTCTTACAAACACCCTCCGTCTCACTTAAGCCTCCACTCTCCAACAAGTGTTATTCCTGATGCTGCTTAATCCATTTCTGCCCTTCTTCCCATCCCTCAGAAGAGTCCTTGTATTGATTTACAGCAAATGCAAGCCCAGGCTCTGGTCCTGCTGCCGGGAGGGAGGCAGCTTCCCCTTCTGCAGGATCCTGGAGGACAGCCCTTAGCTACCTTGTCCAAGCCACACTCCCTCGCTCAACAGAGCTCATTGCTGTGTTGAATATAGGAAGGAGAGGGCCACCATGCCCCATTAGCCAGCAGCTCCCTCAGGCACTGAGCACACCCGCAGAGCCCCAGCCATATATCAGCTTGTTGCCCATCCCTGATGAAAATGTGCTGGAATGAATGGAGCCCTTTTCAGGTGGCTGCCAGAGAGGAGAGAGCTGTGAGCATGGAGGATGGCAATGTGAAAAACAATGCAGAGGAGGGCAAAAGCCGCTCTAACAGCGCTGGAGCTCCTTGTTGCCCTCCACTATCCTGGAGTATCACATGCCCTCACAGGCATTTGTCTCCTGGGTGGAGAATTATGATTATATGTGATCTGTCTCCAAGAAAAACTCTTTCCTTTTGTGTGTGGAATGTTTAATCTTTGTTGGTCACTCTCCATTTGCTTGGAGATGCTGCGAGGCTTTTGTGAACCAGCATCAGAAACTGGGGCTGTTGGTGTCTTACGATGGCTGCAGGGCAAAGTGCCAGAGGTATGGGGTGGTGTATGGGGAGTCACAGGTGTTCTTTGGAACCACAAAATAACCTACTTCATTTTTTCCAGCAGTAATGTAGATGCTAAGCAAACATGATATGTAATGAGGAAACCCTCTGGAGGGTGGGAGCTGACCTAATGACAGATGAGAGGCAGCGAGCTGGAGCACTGGGCTCTGCTGCACTAGGGACTTGTGAGGGTAAGACTGCTGCTGGTCCTGAGCTCTTGCTGGCCTTCTTAGATTATCATACAGCCTACAGTGAAATGTATTGGCTTTTCTCCTCCCATTAAAGCTGAAGTTTAAATGTGAATTCCCTAATGTATCTGCTGAAGGTAGAACATGGAGCTTCAAATAGACCAGTGTCATTTTTACTTTGCTTTTCTGACATAAGCAATGGCAAAAGAGGAGGAAGTAGTGCCGCAGTGCAGGGGGAGATTGTTTTCAGAGATTATACCACTATGCTGGTGGTAAAAATCTAACCTGTTTTAGCCCCTTTGAATTGTATACATCTAAGAGAGGGAAAATTGATTATATGGGCTATTCTATTAATTGTTAAGGTGATTGTTTACCAAGCATATATTCTTTCTGTACTCCATTGCAGACAAAACCAAAAAATACCCAAACATCCAAGCCAGCCCAAATGTGCATATAGAGCACATTTGATTTAGGAAACTTCAAGACTTGTTTAAGGCTAGATCCAGCTGGTGTAAAGGGGCAGAGTATGTTAGCAGCCCTATAGAACTGGGCTGTAAAGCCCAGAGTCCCTGGATGATGGGAATGGTGAGCACTAGGATGTGAATTTGCTAATACTTTAGAAATGTATCCAGAAGAAGAAAAAAAGAGAGGAAAAAAACATAGTGGGAAATTCTTTCCTTCATACATAATAGTTTTCTGTTGATCTAAAATTACCTTTAGTAATGTGTTGATGCCAGTGAAATATTTCAGCTATACGAAATGTGAAACCAACTACGGCCTTTCTATGAATTATGAGTCATAAATTGTATGAAAAATATTAAATCTTGCTATAGCTATTCCTCAAGCAGAACCTCTGAGTAATGGAGAAAATGCTGCTGTTTTGGGGGGAGTAGGAAGGGACTGAGCTAAGCAAAGCAAAATGCCAAGTGCCAGCATGTGGCTCGGTGCTAAGTGTGAATTAGCGTCATCTGAGACGATCCTCCCTTGCTAAGTAAACACTCAGTGGGTATGTTACATGTGCGTGCAGTTCGGTCGAGCAAAGTTGGTCTTTGCTTCAGATGATGTTGGGACTATCTGAGTGCCAGTGCACAGAAGTGACCCATGGGAGAGGTGTGCTTGTGCCAACCCAGGCGCCACTTCTGCAGTTGGTAAGCCAAGCCAGGAGGCACAAAATCCATCTGATCGGCTCTCAGTGGGCAAGTTGTGATTACAGCATTACCCTAAAAACAGCAGTGAAGTGGCAAGATAATAGGATACTGACATTTACAGGTGAGTCACAGAATCACAGAATGGTTGAGGTTGGAAGGGACCGCTGGAGGTCATCTAGTCCAACCTCCCTGCTCAAGCAGGGCCACCTAAAGCACATTGCTCAGGCTTGTGTCCATACAGCTCTTGGAATATCTCCAGGGAAGGAGACTCCACAACCTCTCTGGGCAACCTATTCCAATGCTCAGTGACCCTCACAGTGAAGTTGTTCTTCCTCATGTTAAAGTGGAACTTTCTGTGTTTTAGTTTATACTCATTGCCTCTTGTCCTGTCATCAGGCAACACAGAGTCTGGCACTATCCTCTTGACATGCTGCCTTCAGATACTTGCACACATTAAACAGATTTCCCTGAGTGTTCTCCTCTTTAGGCTGCACAGGCCCAGCTCCCTCAGCCTTTCCTCATATGAGGGATGCTCCAGACTCTTAATCATTCTAGTAGCCCTTCAGTGGACCTCCTTCAGGAGCATCATGTCTTTCTTGTACTGGGGAGCCCAGAACTGGACACAGCACTCCAGGTGAGGCCTCACCAGGGCTGAGGAGGGTCATCTGCTGTCAATGCTCTTCCTAATACAGCCCAGGATACCATTGGCCTTCTTGGCTGCAAGGGCACATTTCTGGCTCATGGACAACTTGTTGTCCACTAGGACCCCCAGGTCCCTCTCCACAGAGCTACTTTCCAACAGGTCAGCCCCCAGCCTGTACTAGCACATGGAGTTATTCCTGCCCAGGTGCAGGACCCTGACTTTACGTTTGTTGAATTTTGAAAGATTCATCTCTACCCATCCTTCCATCTCTGCCCAGCCTGTCCATATCCTTCTGAATGACAGCACAGCAGTCTGGGGTACCAGCAACTCTTCCCGGTTTTGTATCATCAGCAAGCTTGCCGAGGAGGCACTCTATCCTTTCATCCAAGTCATTGATGAATAACTTAAACAATACTGAACTCAGTATTGACTCTTGGGGGACACCACTAGTTACATGTCCTGAACTAGACTCTGCACCACTGACCACAACCCTCTGAAACCTGCCATTCAGCCCGTTCTCAATCCACCTCATTGTCTACTTGTCCCGCCCTTGTTCTTGATGGTGACATCCGTTTCATCCAGCTTCAGTGAAGAGTCCAGTTCAAATTAGCCCTCTAATCTTATGTCACCAAAGGTCACTTTATCTCCTGTTATATCTATTTTATGAATTACCTTTTGGAGATGATTATAGAAAGGTTCTCAGCAACTACTTCTGACTAGGCATTGAACTTATTAATGGGTGAAATTCAGTGAGTCGAATTCAAGGTTAAAGCTCTGGATTTCAGTTTCTGTATCATTTCAGAAAAGACTATGCAGCTTTGTGGCAATTTGTGGATCTTGCTTTGCAACTGGAAGCTAGAATCATTGTTGAGGGGTATTTTATATACCTGAGCTTTAAGTAAAAGCATAAACAAACTGCAGGAGAATGCGACTTGCTGGCTGTGAAGCAGAGGATGCTAACCATGGTTGTGTTAGAGTAGTTTAACTACAGCATTCATATTTGTTCCAGTTTTAGTTTTCAGGTTGTGTGTCTGACACCCATATTAACTTCTCAGTGATGGATGTGTGCCCAATAAAATACAGCTAAAAAGATAACAGTGTGACATGCAGTTTGGTATGCCTGGTCATTTTTCAAATAGGGAGAGAATGATGTCCCAGCTGCACTGAAAGCAGCACTCTCGCTTCCCCAGTGACTAATCAGCAGAAGTCAGCTCCCACCTAATTGGCTTCTTGTGGCATCTGTGAAAGGGTAAAGCTTTTACTGTGTTCAGGTGTGACTCAGAGCCACGCTCTCAAATACCAAAAGCTAAATATTTCATTTTATTTCATCCTGTGTCAAACCATGCTGCCTTTTCCACTCCTGATTCAAAGTTTATTTTAAGGAATCTTAACGTACACATTTCAGTTTGATGCTTCTTTAATTGCCAGAGTCTGGGTAGGTTGTGTGTTTTGTTACATTCTTCTTGTAATGTTTGAGTTGTATAAGGCATGCAAATGTTTTCAAAATATGAGTCCATTTGGCCTCAAGCAGCTGTGATCTGGTGTGAATTAGAAAATGTTTCTATAGCTGTAAGAACACTTAACTGCTTGCTGTCCTGCAGTACAGTGCTTGGGGTTTGTCTCAGTGTGATTCAATTCTTGTTTGCTGTATACAGGAGATGGCTGTGCGAGCACTGAAGCAGACGGGTAGCAGAAGTATTGAAGCGGCTCTGGAGTATATCAGCAAGATGAGCTACTTGGATCCTAGAAATGAACAGATAGTGCGTGTAATTAAGCAGACCTCACCAGGTAAGCATGAACTTTGTTTTTTTACATTCTGTTCTTTCTTGCATTAAGTTAGGAGAGTTGTGGTTGGTGAGAAGTAGTGGATGGCGGTGTTCAGTAGTAGTCTTGTAGGAGACAGTGAAGCAAATGCGGCTCTGCCAGGCGAGCTGGGCTGGAGGCTGAATATAACTCACCTGCTTGGCAAGAGTTGTCCATGTGCACGTTGTTCAACTTGATTCCATTTCAAAACCTTGCATTAATCAGAAAAGCTTGCAATCCAGTGGGCAAGCCTGTTATCTCAATGCCACTGTTCTTGCAGACCTTGTGAAGTCAAGGTTTTAAAAGGAAATTGTTTAGACATAAATGGCCCAGGTCCTGTGACTTGTGAAAGCTGAAGAAAACTGAAGGGGAACATAAAAATAGTGACAGCACAGTCTCCCCATGTCTTTTTAGCACAATCAGTGCTTTATACACCTGCAATTTGTCCTCACATCAAAGAACTGATGAAAAGTGCCATTAACACTTCCATTGTAGGAATGCTGCTGTCTTGACTCTGCACATTCTTCAAGCTAAGATTAACATGTTGACACCCTGAATGATTTGCCTTCCAAACAGATGGAAGATGAGTAGCAAATATGAGAGGATACTTTGAGTCCAACATATTGGAAAGAATACAGGACAAACTGTGTGATGCCTTTGCTGTAAAAGGAGAGGGAAACAAGGATTCTTGAGGAGAACAATGGAACAGAAAGATGTAGACAGATCTCCAGTGTGAGAAGTGAGCTCACTGTACAGAAGATGTGCACTATGTGATTACCGGGTAGCTTACAGTAGTGTTGACTTTTAAGTTGTGTTTACAGTCCTCCTGGGAGGTTTTTTTCTCTTGTTGGTGCTGTACTTAACCCCTGGCTCTGTAGCCTCCTCCTGTCTGCGAGTAATGACTGGTGATACTGGTCCAGCTTTACAAACCAGGCTGTAGAGTAATCTGATGATCCCATGGTCAAAGAATTTGTGCTTCTATTTTCATGATTTGATAGGACTCTCTGATGATTCCTGGCATGAGCAGTGTTGTGGGCCAGTAGCTCATTGTGAGTAGCAATACTTGGCACCTACAACTTTAAATGTTCAGAGTGCTTAATTTAGATTTTGGAAGGTGTTTTTATAACACATACTCCCTACGCAGTGTGCCTGCACTTGTGTGTGTGTCTGTATATGTATGTAATGGGTGAGTAATGGAAAGTAATTGGTTCACCTGAACTGTTTCCTAACATTCTTCTGTGTTCTTTTGTAAAGGAAAGGGTATTGTGCCAACTAATGTAACCCGCAGACCAAGCTTTGAAGGATCAAATGAGTCTTTTCCGTCCTACCATCAGATCAGTAATGCAGCCTATGAAGGGACAGGCTTTGGAGCAGAAGGTGCAAATATGCTTACTGAAGTTCCAAGGCCATACATGGACTATTTAATCTCTAATTCACAGTCTACAGCAATGAATGCTCCTGTACAGCGACCCTCTGGAGTAGGCACTCACAGCACACCAACAAGCCATCAGCAGAAAACATACCCTGCAAATATTGAGTCTTCTGTGATGAATTATCCAGTGGCTAATCACAGCAGTCAAGCATTGCAGCTGCAGACATCCCATGGCTCCAACAGCCAACATTACAGTAGGCAGCACATGATGGTGCAGGGGGAACCTATGGGATATGGTGTTCAGCGGAGTCCATCCTTCCAAAACAAGATGCAGCAGGAAGGAGGATACACCAATCTCCCAAATAAAGGGGCAGTTGTTCAGAATAATTCTGGTCATGCATTTCAGCAGGCACCAGCAAGCCTATATATGTCACATTCTCATCACAAACAGACAAGTCCTTCTTCTCATCAAATGCATGTGATATCCAGAGGTCCAGCCTTTCCCAATGATTTTTCAGACAGTCCACCACAAAATCTATTAACTCCATCTAGAAATAGCCTAAACATGGACCTCTATGACATGAATAATCCTCAAGTTCAGCAGTGGCAGGCAGCAACACCATCACGCCGAGATTCTTTGCAAAATCCAGGAATAGAAGCATCTCCACGGCAACATGTATCCTTCAGACCTGATGCCACAGTGCCAAGCAGAACAAACTCTTTCAACAACCACCAGCAACAGCCACAAGTGACAGTGTCTATAAGGCAGGTTCCTCCAGGAAAACCTGATCCTTCAATTACATCTCCAAATACGATCACAACAGTCACATCTGCTCATATTCTTCAGCCAGTCAAGAGCATGCGAGTGATGAGACCTGAGCCTCAGACTGCAGTGGGACCTTCCCATCCTGCTTGGTTACCTGCACAGGCAGTGGCTGTGGATGGCTTGGAGATCATTGAGCAGCATGTGCCACCTGTTGGAGCAGCTAATGCCTATCAACTAGATGTAGATTATGGTAACCAGGAGCTGCGGTGTCCACCACCACCATATCCCAAACACTTGTTACTTCCTGGTGGCTCTGAGCAGTTTGATATCAACTGCTTATGCATGGGCGTAGAGCAGACCCTCCGTGTAGTCCCCAATTCAACGTGCAATAAAGTTGAGGAGAACAGTGAGCGAAATGATAAAAGCAGTAAGAACACCAAAGCTGAAAAACCAAGTAAGGACAAAAAGCAAATTCAGACATCTCCAGTGCCCGTGCGAAAAAATGGCAAAGATGAGGAAAAGCGAGAATCCCGAATAAAGAGCTACTCACCTTTTGCCTTCAAGTTCTACATGGAGCAACATGTAGAAAATGTCATAAAGACCTACCAGCAGAAAATTAACAGAAGATTGCAGTTGGAGCAAGAAATGGCTAAAGTAATTCTCCTTGTTTTGTTAAAATAAAAGTTAAGGGGGTCACCTTGATTATTACTATTTTAAATTAGTCAAAATAATTATAAAGGCAGTGGAAGTAGTGTAGGTATCCAGCACCTCCCTGTACCAGACTATTTTCACTTAAAAGCATGGATGCAGGTCTGGGAGGCTGTTAATAAAACCTGAGATGTGAAATAATGTATCTTCATACCAGAAAGTAAAAACCCCCCATACTAGGAGAGTGTTAGGTTGGCTTAGGCAAGACCTCAGAAACCAGGTTGGAGGCTGGGATAACTGGCAATACTTTGAGAGCTCTTGCAAAACTCTGAAAAAGATTTTCCCTTTGCCTCAATTGTTCCTTCCTCTTCCATGATAGCCACTCATTCACCAAAGCCATGGTTCAACTTGGTAGGATATTCACTGTGCCATATTTTCAGGTGACTGGAAGTTGTCAGTATTATACGCATAAGTAATAATATTATGCAAGTAATCATATCTCAGCCAGTTTGACCTGATTTTGGGACCCTTGCTGGAGTTTGTTCTAGAAGCAGGTCTCTGGGAGGTGCTCTTTGAGTGAGAGAGCGTCTTTCATGCCTCATTGTAGCGCTCAAACCTAAGGAGATTCACTGACAGGGCTGCTGAACAGAAAGCTGCCAAGTTCTGATAGTTGCTCTGGCAGTTCTGGTTTTAATATTTAGAAGTTTAAGAGTTTTGTTTTTTTCCCAGACATGACTAGAATATGATAAGTCTACTTTTGTGTTGAAGGATAAACTCTAAGGAAAGCTGTTATTAACTTTTGTTATTAACTTCTTATTAACGCATCATGGATAATAATTAACTACCAGATCTTCCCCAGCACAGTCACTTTCCAGAGTCAGTTAGTTTGATGCTCATGTTGCTCCAGAAGACTTTGCGGTTTGTTGAGGTCAAAATGAAACAAATGTGCTTCTAAAAATCGGTTGAAAGGTTGTCATTTTAGTGACAGGTAATAGTCTGTCCTCACTGCAAGTAGAGATTGTATTGTGTTGCTTGGATTTAGGGAATGTTTTCCTGAGATTGAGGTAGGGGATGATCTCTAGAGAAGTAAAACAGCAACTTACTGTGCTTGTTCTTCTCTTCTGACTCTTTGTCCTTCCCTCACTTCATATCCCAGAGTTCATATTCCTCACTTCATATCCCATAATTCAGCTCTGAACAAAAGTAACTCCTTCCCCTAGCAACCTCATCCCTGGCTAGAATAATACACACAGGAGATTTTGTCTGTCTGAATATTGCATTAGTCTAGAATTAACCAAGGACACAACACACTAATTATTTTGCCTTAAAACAATAAACGTTTCCTATATTAAAGATTGATGTACTTGCTTTACCTTTTAAAAACAGAATTACTTGTTTTGATTTGGCTGTGCCTTCAGTCTGAAAAATCATCCTACTTGTTCTGCAAGTTTTTGCAGACCTCCTCCATCCTTTATTCATGCAGATTCCATTTTTATACCATGGGGATCTCATTGCATAGTCTGGCTGCCCACATTCATCTTTAAAGACCTAGACTACAGATGTGAAATTAAATCAGTCTAAGCAGCAGCCCTGTGGGTGTATGCTTGGGTCTCTAGCCTGCTCGTCAACTTCACCTCCCTCCACCCTCCTTCCCATTGCCCCTTCTCACCAGGCACTAGTCTTCCTCAGAGTGGTTCAGTTGATGTCAGTTAAATCAGGGGTTTGGAAATGGGATATGCAGAATGAAAGAGGCATGCTGCAGAGGAAGAATTTTCAGAGGATCCTGGCGTTCAGCCCCGGGGGCTTCTGCTGGTGGAGGCCGTTGGTTGCTCTCAGGAGGGGGACAGGCACTGAAGGTGGCAGAGTTGGCAATGTGCAGGCTGTCCCCTGAAGAGTGGGGAAAGTCTGGTTGGACACTGCTGTTTCTCCCTTTTTCAGGAGCTCTCTCCGTGCAGCCATGTGAAATGCTACTTACAGTTGCTTGGGAGGCTCTCTGGGGACAAGGCAGCTTTTTTACAGCTTAGGTGCAGAAATAATACATTTTAGGGGGAAATAACACCAGTGGATACCCAGCCACTCTGGACTGCAGTGGCTGAGGAGAGACCAAAACTGAGGGTTATAAGTACGTACTTTGGGAGGGTAAAAAGGGAAATTTATAGAACAAACAGTCAGGACATCTACAGACTTTGAGAGTGGAGCCTGTATATGGCAGAGGAAGAAAAACAGTTTCTAAAAACAGTGCTTTCCAAGGCACTTGGGAACGCGTAGGTCAAAACCAGCTTCTTAATTACAACACAGAAACCAGCAGTCAAACAGCAGTCAAGGTAGGAACTGTTAATGGGAGGTGCCCTGGATAACCATTCATGAACAAAGCAGACTGCTGCACCTGGCTCTAAGTTTCAGTTTTAAGTTAAGCTGTACTGCAGTGAACGCACATATAGTGGACTGCAGTGGTAAAGTGCACACTTGGAAGGTAGAAACGAAACCCCATGATCAGGTTTATTGTGTTAAATTCCCCTTTCTGACAGTACTGCCCCATGCCTCTTTGTTCAGTCAAATAAGAAAGGCAGACAAATCTCAGACACAGCAAATTCAGGTGACAAGTTAGGGCCCAGTCAATTCTCAGACAGACAAGAGAGTATCTCTCTCATGAATGCATCTTTTCTGGTTCTTAATTTGGCTAAGAAATGCATTTTGGGAATGCTTGTTTATTGTTCTCTTGCTATGAATGTAACAGTACTAGCTCTTGTGGTTTGCTTTCCTTTGTAAAGGCTGGCCTTTGTGAAGCAGAACAGGAACAAATGAGGAAAATTCTCTACCAGAAGGAGTCCAACTACAACAGACTTAAAAGGGCCAAAATGGACAAATCTATGTTTGTGAAAATCAAGACTCTGGGTATTGGTGCATTTGGAGAGGTTTGTCTGGCCTGCAAAGTGGATACCCATGCCCTGTATGCCATGAAGACTCTACGGAAGAAAGATGTGCTGAAAAGAAAGATGTCCTGAACCGGAACCAGGTGGCTCATGTCAAAGCGGAGAGGGACATACTTGCTGAGGCAGACAATGAATGGGTGGTTAAACTCTATTATTCCTTCCAAGATAAAGATAACTTATACTTTGTGATGGATTACATCCCTGGTGGGGATATGATGAGTCTACTGATTCGGATGGAGGTCTTTCCAGAGCGTCTGGCTAGATTTTATATTGCAGAGCTCACTTTGGCTATAGAAAGCGTGCACAAGATGGGATTTATTCATCGAGATATCAAGCCTGACAACATTCTGATAGACCTTGATGGGCATATCAAGCTGACTGACTTTGGATTGTGTACTGGATTCAGGTGGACTCACAACTCAAAATACTATCAGAAAGGTAGTGTTCTTAGTCTTCGTTTGTGATGGTATTTTGCATTAATTTGTTTTGAAACAGGCAACTCCTGGCAGAAATGCCATCTCAGAAACCAGAGGTGTGTGTACATTAACAATAAGATGTGTCTGTCTCTCTCTGACTCCTTCAATTAGTTTGTTTCCAGTCCTTTGTTTCCAGTAATGTTCAAATCCCTATCAGTAATGTGGCTGACCACTGCAGTAGCAACAATTTTTCAGTTTGTACTTGTTTTGGGGCGTGTCTTCTGATGGTAAAAAGATTTAATCACAGATTTGAAGTAGTCCATGCACCTCCTGTGTGTGCCATTGAGGAGTATGGGCATCTGTTGGCAAAAAGGCCATAAAAAATTGGTATAGCTAACCTCAATACACTCCATTGTCCTGTGTTTCCCATGTGGGAGCGCGCTTCCTTGCGCTGAGACGGAGACGTTTGGCTGGTTATGGAAAACCAGCTGTGAAGGGGAGAGCAGAAGGAAATGCCTTGGGTTTAAAGTGTAAATGCTGTTCTTCAGTGAGAGTGGAAGATGGCACAAGTAGATAAATGCTTTTCTCTTTGTGTTTTGTGTTTTATGACCATGAATGTAAATTTTGTCTCCCATTTGAAAGGGAGCCATATCAGACAAGACAGCATGGAGCCCAGTGATCTTTGGGATGATGTGTCCAATTGTAGATGTGGAGATAGGCTGAAGACATTGGAACAAAGAGCTAAGAAGCAGCATCAGAGATGTCTAGCCCACTCATTAGTTGGAACTCCTAATTATATTGCTCCTGAAGTCCTGCTTCGTAAAGGTAGGTAACCTGTATTTGTCTTCTGTTTAAGTGAACACTGATGCTCTGAAATACTTTTTTTTTGGCCTTAAATAAAATCTTTGCTTTGGAAGATTGTCATTCTGAAGGCCACAAACACTTAGATTAAGAACAGATTTCTCTACATGCTACACTGTTCAGCATCACATCACTGACATTGATGGTGGTCATACTTTGTGTGTCTGGGGCCTTTGAATGAGACTGCTGGCTATCTATGCAGAACAGTCATGGTCACTGCAGCAAAGAGATGAGATGTTCGAAGCTGTCCGCAAGCCAGATCCTAAGCCTGATCTTTCTCAAGTTGAGAGATTGGAACCTACATTATCTGATGGCACAAATCTCCATTGCTTTTCAGAAATCTCGGTCATAGACCTTATTTGTGCTGTCACAGCAATCAAGTGATTGAAATTGTTGCTCTGCTTGGAACTTGCTCAGAAAGTCATCTGTGGCTTGCTTCTGTTTCTAGAGCCAGGCTGTGTCTTTCAGCAGCTTTTCAAACTCGTGGTGTCACCTCCACTGAACGTAGGGGGAACATCAGTTGCTAAATCTTTGTTATTCTTTGGGGTCCAGTTTGTACTCTGTAGTGATGTAGTTGAGGGACAGGGCATGAAAAAAACCCATGCTAATTATATGATTTCACCACTCACTTTTGGGAATAAATTTATTCAGAAAGATTCCCAGGCAACAGGATTAGATCTTTACTGACAGCAGTGGAATTCAGGTCAGCAAGCAGAAGTGACTTTGTGATGAAGGTGCATTGGCCGCCCTTTATTTTTAGGTCACAAGTCATTTGCCCAAGAAAAGGCAGAAATCTGTGCTGTATGTTTTGACACTTAATTGCAAGTAGCTCTATACACATTCTCCCTGGTTGGTGGAGGACAACCTTTTGACTTGCCTTTCAGGATACACTCAGCTCTGTGACTGGTGGAGTGTTGGTGTGATCCTCTTTGAGATGTTAGTGGGACAGCCTCCTTTCCTGGCTCCCACACCCACAGAAACGCAGCTGAAGGTGAGTTGAAGCAAAATTCCAATATGTAGTAGCAAAATCTTAGACTTTTCCCTTTGCCATGCACAGACCTATCTCCTTTTGTTTTACTAGAGAAAGGAGTAGTGATTACAAAAGCTTGGTTTTAAGTAGTTCCATGCAGGCACAAGTCCTTTCACAATCAATGGAGATACTGAATATCAGACTACAACTGGCTTGTCCAACTGCACAGATAGTTGTTAGTTTTATGAACCTTCATAGCACAATTGTGATCTCTTAAGCATGAGTCCATGCATCTAAATTCCTTAGAGAACCTATCAGATTGGAGTGAGTTGATATGCCAGTGGTAATTACAGTTGGCAATTTAAGAATTTCAAAGTCAAGCAGTGAGTTATTTTTTATTAGAAAGAATGTGTCTCATGACCACTTTTTCTGGTTTATGTTTTGGAGACGAAATGAAGTAGTTCCTTGAAGTTATTCTGTGAAGTCATGTGTATACTGAACATGTTCTCAAATCTAACTGTGGGAGCATTCAGGAAGGAATTTGCCTTTTCTAAAACTGGAATTGCTCATTTTATCTGCTATCCGACAATGTTTCTTCATTCATTAATTATTAACAGCTGATGCGATCTAGTCATTGGGTTCTTGAACCTTTAATGTGGAGACTGTTAGCTGACTGTTATGTGTCTACTTCTGTACAGTTAATGTTGTCAAGCAGAAGGATTCTGTTTCCAGGATTAAAAGTTATTTCATACCTTTCTTACCTCCAGGTGATAAACTGGGAAAGCACACTGCACATTCCCTCACAGATCAAGCTAAGCCCTGAGGCAACTGATCTCATCACAAAGCTCTGCTGTGCTGCTGAGGACAGGCTCGGAAGAAATGGAGCAGATGATATTAAGGCCCATGCTTTCTTTCACTCTATGGACTTCTCTACTGATATCCGTAGGCAGCCAGCTCCATATGTTCCAAAGATTAGCCATCCAATGGACACTTCCAATTTCGATCCAGTTGAAGAAGAAAGTCCATGGAACGATGCTAGTGGTGACAGCACCAGGACATGGGATCCACTAGCCTCTTCCAATAGCAAACACACAGAACATGCTTTTTATGAGTTTACTTTCCGAAGGTTCTTTGATGACAACGGGTATCCGTTCAGGTATCCCAAACCTTCTGGAATGGAACTTGGCCAGTCTGAGAAACCTGATGTAGAAGACAAAGGTGTGGTGGATCAGACTGGAGCTTGTCAGCCTGTATATGTGTAAATTATTGTATAGAGTACTCCAGGTAAGACTAATCTCAAATCCAGTAGGGCCTTTAACTGATCCTTTAGGAGCTGCTCCTGCAGTGCTTGTGCAGATGTAACTTCAGCTGAGGCTGGAGGCATCCTGGGGAGTAAGAAGCTTGCAGGGCCAGGTCCTAAAAATGGCACTCTTGAAAGTTCAGGTCAGTTTTACTGTATATAACTTTGTTGATAATTACACTTGAAATCCTGGTCTTCACCAAAACCTGCAAGGCCAGCAGTCTGTCATTTCTAGGCCTGCTTTTCTTTGAGGTCGGCACCCCCATACTCAGATTAACATTTACAGACTTCTGCAACTGTCAGCGTTATTTTCTAAATGAATAAAGAGCACTTATATTTTGTTTATAGCAGGGGTTTTTTTCCTACTAAATTATAGGGATTAACTTTGACAAATCATGCTGCTGTTCTTCTTTTCTACATTTTTATTTTATCCATAGCACTTATTTCACATTTAGGAAGACGCATAAAGCTGAAGAACATGTGATGAAAGGTCTCTGTGCAATAATGTAAGAAAGAAAAAAAAAAAGAAAAAAAAAGAAAACTGCTCTCTAATTTTCTAAATTTACTGATGCCGTTGTATTCACACCGTGATTTTTGTTTATTATATGTATTTTCCACATTTCAAAATCGTGACATAACCTTAAAGCTGCTTTATTTCCTTATGCTTATTGGAGTGTAGTAGAAAGTGTGAGCAAGTGACAATTTGGGTATGATTTCATTGTCTAGTGTGTGAAGAATGTTGCATGAGCAGTGTTTTTCTGTTTGAAATGGCCTTTTCTTGCCATTCACAGGCAGGTCCTGTGGATCCATTTTTACTAAGGGTCTAAAATTAGACCATTTTAAGCCGTGTGTTGATAATGTATTGTGTGGATGGTTTCCTCTTATGATTGTATCCAATACTAATTTTGTAAAACAGATTGCAAAGGTTGTAACTGAATAGTGATTTTGTGGTCTGATGTAGTAGATTGTTTTAGTAACAATGTATCATTGGCACACAAGTTTCCCCACAAAGGATCAATAGCAAGACCCTGGTTTTTGGCAACAGTTTAGCTCAGGCTGGTTTAGATCATGTAGTGTCTAGCTCTGTGTTCCCTGTTTGGTACCAGCAGCAACACAGAGCACCAGTACTAACAGGTGTAGCTCAACGTCTTCCAAGACAGAATGTCCAGCGCTGTGCTCCCATAACACCACAAGATCCCAAGCGCAGTGAGGCTGATGTTGAGTGTGTGCAGCTCCATGGACATCGGCGGAACCTGGAGGTATGTGGCTTTTCCAGACATCACATCCCTACAGGTGACTGGCTGGTATCTGTTTAGGATCCCAATGTTTTAGGCACTGACAACTGAAAATATTGGCATTGTTCACAGGTCATTCTGTTGTGTAGAGGTAAAAATGTTGCTGTGATGGAGCACAATAGTCCTTCATTTCTGTCAAATTATAGGCATACTTTGAAATATCAGTTCTTAACTATGTTAAAATATGCATTTCTCTTATATGTATAAGTGAGAATTATTCAAGGTGATATCAGAATACTAAAGATAATTAAGCCATACATATTTGCATATATATGATATATAACTAAATAAGTAAACACACACAAAAATCCTTAATTCAGATTAGTGTAACAGTCCTACTTAAAGTGATTGACGTAATAACATTTGAGGAAAACACTCCTTTAATGTGTTTTTACTTTATTTTATTTTTAAATCTGGAGCTTCATTATTTTTTCCGTATATTATTCCACATATTATTCCTTAATGTGTTAGCATATCCTATCTCCTATCCATTGTTTAGATATCTAAGCAACAACATATAAATTCATCAGCCTAAACTAAACAAAAATGATTGTGTATTTGTTTACATTTGTATGAAAGGAATGTTCTGAGGTATGCAGTGCTTGTGTTGTGACAGTTCATGTAAGATTCAGTATTACGGCTTTTTTATATAGTAATGCCATTTTTTGTTATTTACAGCTATCTGACATTCTTTCATGTGGTAGGTTCTTTCTCAGGAACTCAATTTAACTGTTATTTATTGATATATCATTGCCTTTGAAAGCTTCTACTGGCACAATTTATTAAAAATCTGAATCAAAAGCTAAAATGTGTGATGTGTTCTTGAAAAGGATAATTTCTGCCTTACATAAACCTTAAATTCTGGTTTACAGCAGAATCTTTAATGGGTTTGAGTTTGTGATGTTAGTCTTGGGTTTGAGCTGCAAACATGAGATCCAGATCTCACCTCTCCTGCAGCATTTGGTGTGGGATCTCCAGGTACTTTAAGACAATTTCTTCTGTCTTCATGGCCTTTGGGAGCAAGGGGCAGGATTCAAGGGTAAAACTGGTGTGACCAGGTCAGCAGGGGGCATAAAATTCAACCCATTCCCTTGCTCTGCAGTGATGGCTCTGCCAGGGCAGCCACAACCCGTGTGTCTCCCCCTCAGGCTGTTGCCTCTGATGTATTTCTAAAATGTGCATAATTTACTTGCAAATACAGAATCTTTGCAACTAAGCAAAACAAGTAAAACTGGCCCAGAAGGAAACAGGTGCTTCCACGGTGAATACATTACTCATGTCAAATCTATGCTGCGGGGAACAGAAGCCAACTCCCATTTTGCCTGAAGAAGAACTCATTTAAAAACAAATCTTTTGAGCTCCTTAGGCGCTGTCTCAGGAAGGCTCATGTCCTTTGCAGACGTGATTCCAGGGATAAACAGGAACTTGGCGTAAACTTTATGAAACTTGGACAAGTATGCCATATACTTGTCCGTATACGATACGTATGCCTAAACAATATGCCATATACTGGGACTGGTTTGAAGCATTCTTGGTTCTGCTGAAACTCTT